TGCTTTATCAACCTCTATGCCTCTAGAAGAAATCACATGTCCAAGCACAATACCTTCATTCACCATGAAATGACATTTCTCATAAATCAAAACCAAATTTGTCTATATGCATCTTTTCAAAATCATGGTCAGATTATGCAAGCAAATATCAAAAGAATCACCATACACGGTAAAGTCATCCATAAACACTTCAATGCATTTTTCAACAAAATCAGAAAAAATACTTAACATGCATCTCTGAAATGTACCTGGAGCATTATACAACCCAAATGGCATCCTTCGGTAAGCAAAAGTGCCAAATGGGCAGGTAAATGTGGCCTTTTCTTGATCTTCTTGAGCTATTACTATTTGATAGTAACCTGAAAATCCATCAAGAAAACAGAAGAAATTCTTACCAGCCAATCTCTCCAACATCTGATCAATAAATGGCAATGGAAAATGGTTCTTCCTAGTAGCTTGATTCAACTTCCTGAAATCAATGACCATGCGCCACCCATTTTGCACCCTCATCTGAACCAACTCATTATTTTGGTTCATTACCACTGTGATTCCAGTCTTCTTGGGTACTACATGAATGGGGCTCACCCACTTACTGTCGGAAATGGGGTAAATGATCCCTTGGTCAAGTAGCTTGAGTATCTCCTTCATTACAACTTCCTTCAAGGCTGGGTTAAGCTTTCGTTGAGATTCACGAACCGGCTTGGCATTATCCTCTAACAAGATTCTATGCATGCAAACTGAAGGGCTGATCCCTTTTATATCTGCTAGAGTCCAGCCAATTGCCGTCTTATGCTCCTTCAGAACTTTGGTCAACCTTTCCTCTTGATCATTCATCAACACCTTGGCAATAATAACTGGAAGTGTCTCTTCATTACCCAAATAAATGTACTTGAGGTGATTTGGGAGAGTTTTCAACTCTAACTTTGGAGTCTGCAAAACAGAAGGTAGCAATTTTTCATGAGATAAAGTCCCTTTTGGCTTTGAATTTTCTAACCTTCCTTGTGATTCTAAAACTGAGTCGGAAATCTCGCTAGGCTCATCTTCTCCTTCTTTTACATCCAAATGTGCAAGTAATTCCAAATTACTCTCCTCTTCAAAGCTTTCCTGCACAATTGAATCAATGTTGTCAATAAAGCAAATAGAGTGATTTTCACTAGGATGCCTCATTGCCTCATCAACATTGACATGACTATCTCTCCAGCAAACTCAATAGAAAGTGTGCCCTTGTCCATATCTATTTTAGTTTTGGCGGTTCTCATGAAGGTTCTACCCAAAAGGATTGGGGATGGATTTGCAATTGAATCATCCTCCATTTTTAATATGTAAAAATCTGCAAGAAATATTAAATCCTTAACCTGCACCAAAACATCCTCAACAATCCCTTCAGGATAAACAATGGAATGATCAGCCAATTGGATAACAACATTAGTTTTCTGAAGCGGACTTAAATTGAGCATATGAAAGATTGAGTAAGGCATGACATTTATGGATGCTCCTAAATCTAACATGGCACAGTCAATTTTTCGGTTACCAATTGCACATGGCAATGCATACATACCTGGATCAGAGCATTTCTTTGGTAACTGTCTATCAACAACTGATACAGTTTCCCGTACTTTTTGATTAACCTGATCCTTACCTTTTCTCCGATGAGTGCATAACTCCTTCAGAAACTTTGCATATTTCGGGATTTGCTTGATGGCATCTAGCAAAGGGATATTGATTTCCACTTTTCTGAATGTTTCTAACACTTCTTTCTCATAATCATCCTTTTTAGACTTTTCCAACCTACTAGGAAAGGGTGCAACAACAACATTAGGCTCAGAAATTATAGAAGAATCAGATATTACCTTTGGTAAATTTTCAGATTTTTCTTCTTCTTCTTCTTTCGCATCACTCTTCTTGATTGCCTTGGGAACAACAGGAATTGAAGAAAGCTCTTTTCCACTTCTCAGCACAACTGCACTAGCATTTTCCTTTGGGTTCACAACCGTCTGAGATGGTAGTCTCCCAAAATTGGATGCTTCTAAATTAGTCAAAGCAGTTGCAAGTTGGCTTACTTGCTTTCCCAAATCTTGTATACTTGCTCTCGTCTCCTGTTGAAATTGCTTAGTATTAGATGCCAAAGATTTGACAATATCCTCTAAAGACATACCTGAATTCTGAGGTTGTGCATGTAATGGAGTTGGTCTGGGGTATGGCTGATTTGGAAATCTTTGCTGGCCTCCTGTATTCCCATATCTAAAGTTTGGATGATCATTCCACCCAGGATTGTAGGTGTTTCAATATGGATCATACTTGCGTTGGGGTTGGTTGGGAAATCCTCCTACAACATTGACTTGTTGAGTGTCTTCATCATAGAAGTTCTGGCACATATCAGAAGAATGTCCTGGATTTGAGCAAACTCCACAAACCTGAGAAGCTTGAACCTGTCCTGCAGCCATTTGACGCATCATAGCAGTTAGATCATGTAGTTGTTTCTCAATATTGGAATGACTTACTTGATGAACACCTTTGGTGGGTACATCTGTCCTGTCACCAAATTGTTGAGTAGTCTCTGCCATAACTTTAATCAAGTCTCTAGCTTGTGTTGGTGTCTTATTCATTAAAGCACCTCCACTAGCTGAGTCCAACTGTTTCCTATCGGCCGCATCAAGCCCCTCGTAGAAATACTGAAGCAACAACTGCTCGGGAATTTGGTGGTGAGGACAGCTGTCACATAGCTTCCTGAATCTCTCCCAATACTCAAGCAATGTCTCACTATGGAATTGACGAATTCCATAAATGTCATTCCTAATGTTTGTTGCACGTTTTGCTGGGAAAAACTTCTCCAGAAACTGTTTCTTCAACTCATTCCAAGTGGTAATTGAGTTAGCTGGCAAGTCATAGAGCCAACTGTTAGCATCACCTTCCAATGAGAAGGGAAAGGCTTGCATCTTTACATGCTCTTCAGTAACTCCTTGACTTTTCACTGTCTCACATATAGCTTGAAATTTCTTCAAATGCTTATAAGGATCCTCTCCTGCAAGACCATAAAACTTAGGCAATAACTGAATTAAACCAGGTTTCAGTTCAAAAGCTACCGTAATTTGTGGCAAAACAATGCAAAGGGACTGTTGGTCAACATTAGGAGTTGCCAACTCTATCAAATTGAGGTTGTTGTCTCCCATATCTTCTTCTTCCGGTTCTGGTTCCTGTTTTTCTTCCTGCACAGAATAATCAGAATTATCTAATTCAATATCAAAAGTTACTAGCTCGGACGATTCACCTTCCTTTTTCTTACTCTCTTTTCTTCGCTTACGAGCTTCTTTTTCAATATCAGGAATGAATTCCAATGAACCTTGTGGATTCACTCTGGTCATAAGCCACAAAAGCAACGTAAGAGTGAACAAAGTATTAAGCACTGAACCTTAGGATAGCAACAACCTAGGTTTATAGTAAGACAAAAAGATTTTTTTTTCTATTTTTCAAAAAAAAATTCAGAAACGTTTATCACGTTAGGCGTGATCACGCCTAACACAACAAAGGCTTCTAGTTCACAAAAATCAGCAAAATAAGACACTGGCGAAACTAGGAAACTAATTTCTTAGCTCGTCGGCAACGGCACCAAATTTTGGCTAGCTTGTCGAGGCACCCAAAATTAATCCGATAATCCTACCGAACTACAAAATTTGCAGTAGTAGCAGTACCAGGTCGAATCCTAAAGGAGCTAGATTTTTAGTTCTTAGTTTGACAATGTCCAAAAAGATTTCGTTTGTTGGTTTACTAACTACTAAGACAAAATAAAAATTACGAATTTTAAAAGCAAGGATAGGTAAACAAGGAGAAAATTTAATATCACAAAGGTTCTGACTCAAGGAACGGATCATCCAATTATTTCACAGATCATTGGTAACTAAAATTATTCTTGCAGTTCGAGCACTCAAGTTTAAGCATACTAGGATAGCCGTAGTGAACATAAAATTGCCCTAAATTAACTAACCAAATCTAGCATTCAGTTAGCGCTTATCATTAAACGCTGGGCACGATAGCGTTCTATACAAATCAATGATAGCAATAAAAACCAAGGAAATATGCTTGAAACACAATTCAAGATTATTGAGATAGCTACAATAAATTAAATTATGATTTTTTGATCCTACTCCTAGGCATACAGAAGCATCCAAGTCTCACAAACACCAATGATCCACCTAGCTGCTACTAAATTCCAATGGTTCGTGTCAAATACGTAACATACAACCAAAAGATAGCAGTAAAAAGAAAATACACAACCAAGTTGTCAATTTAATTGGTATTCACTTTCATAAAATTAAAACAAGAATAAAAAAGTAACTCAAACCATAGACAAGATTAAATTAAAACCAAAACCTCACATGTAAAATAATTAAATTAAATCCCTTGAATCAGAAACAAAAGGTTTAGCTACTCATAATCATGGACATGATAGCTAATTTATTCATAGAAAAATAGTACCAAGTCTAGAAGAATTGAAAATCCGGAGAAACGGAGACAGCCCTGACCTCCAAAGCCAAAAGAAAAAGCTGCGCACTTTTGTTGTTTCTTCGAACAAAGAAAACGACGGCTAAAACAAGCAAAACCTGCGGCCTTTATAGAGAATTAGGTCAGCCGCAATTATTAAAACAAGGGTCAAAATTGCAGAATTGGTCCTCTAACTTTTCAGCCTCTCAACAATTGGTCCAAACTTTCTTCAATAATAAAATTCAGTCTATAAAGTTTCTTATTAGCAGCTTCTTCTCCCAACAACTTCAATACTTTGTAATTAGGTCCATCATTGGAGTAAACTTCTTCCTTTGCTCAAGTTGGATGATGTTTGCAGTCTCTTTTTGTATCAATTAGCTCCAAAAAGTTGTAAACTCCGCTTTCCAGCTCCTAACACAAAACATTAATAAAACCTAATGAATTAAAACCATCCAAGTCCATAAACTCATAAAATAATAACAATTAAAGCATAATTTATGGACTCTATCAGTAAGCCTAAAATGGAAGAAGTAAGAAGTGAATTGGAGAAGGTAGGGTTTCAGGGAGACTTTCATATTGGTCTCATGAACCCTAGACACATTCTCATACGGTTTGAAAGGAAAGAAGACTTTCAACGTTGTTGGATTCAAACAATGTGGAATATCAAAGGCTATGCAATGCGTATTCTCAAATGGCAACCCGGTTCTCGATTTGAAGAGGATCCCCCTGTCGTTCCAATTTGGATTGCTTTACACGAACTGCCGATTGAGTTTCTTAACCCGCAGATCTTGTTCTCAGTCGCGGTCGCCATTGGCAAGCCCTTGCAGGTGGATACGCCGACTCTGAACCTCACAAGGCCTTCAGTCGCCCGTTTCTATGTGGAAGTGGATTTAACGAAACAAAAAGAATTTCCGGCTGCTATTAAAATTGGGAAGAAAGGAAAGAAATATGAGCAAGCATTCACATACGAATTCATTCCTGCTTATTGTGACCATTGCCAGAAAATTGGTCATAATGACACTGTATGTAAGCAGAAGATTGGTTGGAGTTTAGAACATGAAGGTAAGAAGTTTGCGGATGCAAGGCAATTGATTGAGAAGAAAAAAGCCAAGAAGGTGCAGCCGGTATCAAAGTCGCAGCCTAGGGTTTCTGCAAACCCTAGCCCACAGTCGATGCATGTGCCGCCTGAAAAGCTGTCTTCTTCTGGCTTAACACAAAAAGAGAAGGACACAATTGTGGTGGATATTGAGAGCTCTCCGCCCAAGCAAAAAGACACGGGTATCAAGAAGAATACGGAGTGTTCCAGTGATGATCAGCCTCGCAACTCACTGAATCTTGTGGTATCGACGTCGGCAAACAAGTTTGCTGTCCTCGATACAATTCAAGAGGAAGAAGGTGAGATTGTTGAAGATGTGACAGTGGAGGATGGTTTGGAAGACTCAGAGCCTACTGATAATTCTGAAAATAGACATAATGACACGTCACTTCCACCAGAGCAAGAAGGATCCACGGATTTGGGGCCGGAACTTTCCACATTGGAAGCCTTCCAGAAAGAGCTGTCTGCATTGGGTAATGATACAGTTCTCCCGGCCAGTGATTTTGCTGATGATGGTGTGATTGGGAAAAATTCTGAGATTGGTGAAACAATAATTGTTGAGCAGGAAAGTTGGTCTGAAGGGGACTTGGACGTTTATGAGGATCAAGAGCGAGTGACAGCACAAGGGTCTGTCTCGTTACCTCAAAAACGTGGACGAAAAACGAAAGCTGAGCTAACCGAATTAAATGCAGGAGTGGCCTTGAGAAGGTCGCCACGGTTGCATTAATTCAGTGTCCTTCTCTTTTTTATCCAATAATTTCCAATGATAGGACAACTCATATGGAATGTTCGTGGTATTAGAAATCAAGCCTCGCAACGTCGTTTGCAAGCTCTGCTAAAAATTAATAAGGTTTCCATTCTTATGATCATGGAACCCATGTTGGTGGTGAATAATTTGGAGGAAATCCGACGCCTGTTAGGGTTTCATTCGGCCTTCTCTTCAGATAATAGCAAAATTTGGGTCTTTTGCTCAAACGAGGTTACAGCTACGTTACTTGAATCTCATGCTCAAGTTCTACACTTCGAGGCTTCACATGTTTCGGTTCCACATACCTTTTTCTTCTCTGCGGTGTATGCAAGTTCTACTAGACTCGCTCGTCAAGCTTTATGGCAGAATATGTTCACATTTCGGCATCTCCACTTGACATCGGCCTGGATGATAGGGGGGGATTTCAATGTGATCCGTGCTTTGGAAGAATATTCGGGAGTCTTTGTCCAAGATAACATTGCGATGATTGATTTCAATACTTGCATTGAGGACTGCGGTTTGATGGAATTGTTGGCTATCGAAGAAGACTTCACTTGGGGAGGAACTCGAAGTACTGGCTGGGTTGCTAAGAAACTTGACCGTGTTCTCTTCACAAAAGAATGGAATGAGCTCTTTCCCGTTTCCTCAGTAGAGAACCTGAATCGTACTACATCAGACCATAGCCCAATCTTGCATCTTTTTGGTCATCAAATTGCGAGTAAACCTAAGGCCTTTCGCTTTCAAAAGATGTGGCTGCGTCGAAGTGACTTCAAGGCCGTGGTAAAGGAATGCTGGGACCAGCCTTTAAGTTATTATGGGATGCATGGTTTTTCATTGAAGCTACGCCAGTTGAAGGTTAAGCTTCGAGAATGGAATAAGGGAGTTTTTGGCGATGTTTTTGAAAACCTTAAATCGGCGGAAGCAAATGTTCAACAGTTGGAAAGTTTATATGATATGACCGGTCTTGAACGAGATAGGTCTCTCTTGAATGCGGCTAAAGCATTTTATCTTCTCAAGTTAAAGGAACATGATGATTACTAGGCTCAAAAAATGCGGATTAAATGGATGAAAGAAGGGGATGTGAATACGGCTTACTTCCATGCCTCATTGAAGGAAAGAAGACTAAGGCAAAATCTTTTCAAAATTCAGACCGCTAACGGTGCAACCCTTACAAATATGCCCGAGATTGAGCAAGAGGTGGTCAGGTTTTATAAAGAGCTTTTGCAAGATGATAATTTGGATGTTCAAGAAGAAGATGCGCAGCTGGCCTTGATTTTGCACATTCCACCTTTGATTGAGATTGATGATTGTACTTTTTTTATGAGTCCCGTTTCGTTGGAGGAAGTAAAGGCTGCTGTTTTTAACTTGGATGATGATGCGGCTCCGGGTGTAGATGGATTTGGAGGGAGCTTTTATAGAGGTTGCTGGGAGATTATTTCTCAAGATCTGTGGTGTGCTTGCCAAGAATTCTTTGCGGGAGTTCCATTGCCAAGAGCAGTTGCAAGTACCTTGATTTCTCTCATTCCAAAGAAAACATCGGTTAGTACTTTTTCTGATTACAGACCAATAAGTTTGTGTAACTTTTTGAATAAAGTTTTCACTAAAGTACTAACGGAGAGATTGAAAGTGGTGTTGCCTAAACTTATTTCTGAGGAGCAATCAGCTTTCCTGGAGGGAAGAGATATATTGGATAATGTAATGCTTGCTCAGGATCTATGCCAATTTCTTGGTCGTAAAGTGGCTGGTAATAACATGGTTTTGAAATTGGATATGATGAAGGCCTTTGACCGAGTTAAATGGAATTTTCTTGAGAAGGTCTTGCTCAAATTTGGTTTTCCGCAAGGATTTGTGTTGATGATCATGAATAACCTTAGAAATAGCTAGTTCTCGGTTCTCATCAACGGTGGTCCTGTTGGATTTTTCCAATCTTCCCGGGGTATCAAATAGGGAGATCCATTGTCACCATACCCGTTCATTATAGTTTCTGAAACTATGACAAGAACTTTTAAAAGTTTGGTGAGGGATGGAGCAATTGCAGCTTATGGAACTCCTAGTAGGTCCCTTGCAGTATCGCATTTGGCTTTTGCGGACGACCTAATTATCTTCACAAGAGGGATGAAAAAGTCTCTTTCTGATATTAATAATTTTCCTTATTTGTATGAGAGGGCTTCGGGGCAGAAGGTTAATAGACAAAAGAGCTCATTCATGGTGGTAGAAAGTTGTAATGGTAGAAGAGTTGGCATTATCAATTGCACTCTAGGTATTCAAAAAGGCTCTTTACCTTTTGTCTACTTGGAATGTCGATTGTTCCATGGAAGGCGCAAGGCGGAAACATTCCAATTTCTGTTGGATGCCATTGATGCAAAACTTCTTAGTTGGAAAAGTCATTTGTTAAGTCCGGGAGGTCGTCTAATTCTGATTAAACATGTGTTGTCCTCTATTCCAATGCATGTTTTTCAGCTATTCCTCCGCCTAGATCAATAATACGTAAAATGGAAAGGAAATGCCAAGAGTTTTTGTGGAATGGAACTCAAGACGCAAACAAGCACCACTGGAGATCTTGGGAAAACCTTACATATCCCACTTCTGAAAATGGATTGGGAATTCGAGATTTTCAAAGAATGATTGATGCTCTGATGATTAAACAATGGTGGAAGCTCAGGATTAGAAGAGGGCTCTGGAGTAAATTTATTACATCTTTGTCTCTCACTGCAAAGAAAAAAACCTCTTGGCTGCGCATACAGAAAATCCATAGAAGGGCTTCTACGCATTCAAAAATTATAATACACAGAAGGGAAAGTTCTTTCTGGTTTGACAATTGGGCGGACTTTGGAGTGATATGGGATTTAGATCATCAACAACCCCCTTGTCCCGAGCTCACTATTCGGGAATTCTTTGAAAATAAACAATAATACTTGTTGCAATTTCAGAATGTTTTTGCTAACCATGTTCGTGACTTTCTTGAAAACCTTGAGCAGGATTTCTGTGAAGGAGATGATGTCCTTGTTTGGCAGCCTAACACTAAAGGGGATTTCTGAGTCAAGTCGGCTTATGAGGTTACAAGGAGAAGGCGCGCAGAGGTGAAGGAGTTGAGCTTTGTGTGGGCTAAACAGGTTCCTTTAAGGATTTCTTTCTTCATTTGGAAATTGCATAATAAATTATTGCCTTTTCCAGAAATTCTTAGTAGAATGGGGTTGCAAATCTTGCCTTCCATTTGCCCTTTTTGCAAGGTGCAATATGAAAATATAGAGCATGTTTTCTTCGGTTGTCACAAGATAATGAATGTATGGACTTTGTTTGCTGGAATGATGTGTATCAAAGGGGGCTCCTCATTGGCCTCAATGATTCGGAGTTGGCGGGCCTATGGAGTGTTTCACATTCTTACGCCTACAATTATACTATGGGAGACGTGGAAGACACGTAACAAAGTGATTTTTGAAGGCAGCATCGTAGAGACATCAAAACTGATTTTGCAATCAAGACTCATGTTGGTGATCTTTTGAGAGTACATGACTTGAAAGTGGCAATATTGACGGAGAAGTCTTTTTTTGAGGAATTTTTTGGGGCTACATTGAAGAAGAAGCCGCGGCCTCTAGTTAAAGAGGTTAGGTGGATTCCTCCTCCTTCTAATTCTTATGTCCTAAATACGGATGGTTCATCTGTTTTAGGGGAACCGGGATATGGTTTTGTCATTCGAGGAAAAGAAGGTACTTTTGTTTACGGTGAAAGTGGTTACCTTGGTGGTGGTAATAGCTATATGGTGAAAGTGGTTACCTTGGTGGTCGTAAAAAATGCATCTTCTGGTAATTCGGAAATGTCTTTTCGATTAGCTTCTTTACCTAGATATGTCAAGGGATTATTGGTCTTAGATCAATCTTCTTTCCCTTATATTTGTAGTAAGGCCATATGATGTACTATGGTATGATACATGCTCTGCCATAAGCTTTTGTTATTTTATTAATAATAAAAAGCAAGGGAGGGGTGAAACTAGGGAACTAGCTAGTATAAATGTTCATCCCATGGGTAGACTCCGTGGGTGCATTGTACTAGCTGGCACTGGCTGATTCAAAAATTTACCTCTTGGGTACACCCCTTGAGTTTTTTTGAATCAGTTGGAACCTGACCTCAATATTTATTTAAAAAAAGGATTTCCTTTTTTTTTTCCCACCCCACTTCCCATTCTACCTCTCTCTCCCCGTCTCTCACTCTCTCGTTCTTTAGCCTGCCGTCGCCCACCGCCCACCACCACAACTCTTGACTCTCAACTCCAAGACTCTATCCCCAACTTTCCACCTCCATAATCCACCAATTCCATCACCAATCTCTTCATCTCTAAAAAAAAAAAAAAAGAAGATAATGTCCACTTCCAGATCTGAGAACTTTAGAAGATGATGGTGAGATTTTGAAAGTGAAGAATGATGGGGAATTTGGAGAAGTAAATTGAATGAATACCATTCTAATTCTATAATTTTTCTTCCGTTCTTTTCTTCTTTTTTTTTTTTTGGGCTTCCGGTGTGCTGATGCGGCAATGCCAATGTAGGGAAGTGATGGTTGGAGCTTGAGCAGTAATGTGGGGATGTGATTGTTTGGGTTTTTTGTAGGGTTATTTTCCCGACCAAATGGTAAGGCTTCTAAGTCGAAAATGGTTGCTGAGATGGGATTTTTTCAAAAGAGTTCCTATGGGTAATCTGGTAGATCTCACAGTGGGTGGAAATTTTTCCATTTTTTAAAAAAGATTTTTAATTAAGGCCTTTGATTCATCTTGATTATTCAAGGGATTCAAAAATAAATTATTCGTATAGACTTGAATTTTTTATTTTGTTGTGATTTGAACCTTGATTTTGAAACTTGAATGTATTAGGTGAATGAAACATCATCATTTCATCACATCATCTGAAATCTGAATTTTGAGGGTTCTATTAATTCGGTTGAACCGAAACCCGAACTGAAAAACCCCCTGTTTTATTCAGTTTGTTAAGTTCGATACAATCGTTTGATTAAAAAAACTGACTAACCCGAACCGATACAATCAGTTCGATACAATCATTTCGAGCGGGTCTCGTGTGATTAAAAAAACTGACTAACTCGAACCGAATTCATCCGAACCACACCGGACCGCCCGAATTGACAGCTCTATATTTATTCATTAGAAATAAAAATTGCGGGGCTCAACTTCTCGGTATGTTTGTTTTGTTTTTTTATTGTGTATTTTTAGGTGTCTTTGTATTGGAAATGTAAAAAGGTTTATTATTAAAATAATTTGAAAAAACTATCCAAAAAACCAAACAAACAGAGCCTCTACATTTTCATAAAATTAAAATATGATCCTTCATAATTGTTGTTGATTACTCAAGATTATAATCCGCATCCCGCCCGCCTAGAACATTCTCAATTCTGTATTTCTTCTTTTTCTGATTCACTTCAATGGCGGACGACTACGATTCCGGTACTACCATCGCTCCCTCCGAAGAACTTAAACGCAACTCTGAGATTTCAGCGACTTTGAACAGTGAGTATCAAATGGTTGGCGAACCGCCCGAATCATCCTCTTCTGATCGCATAAATAAGGTCGTTCAAGAAATGGCGATTAATCCCGTCAGTCTTCCGAATCATTTCGGAAGCACCATTTCGCCGGAGCCCAGTTCTGTGAAGTTTGAAGAAGAACAAGGTGCGACCGAAGTGCCTGAAGTGGAAAAGACAGTGGCGAGGGCCAGTGATTTTGCAAACGACACCGTTTCCCTGAAACAAGAAGGAAAGGGTTTTGAGGAGGAATTAGTTAGTGGCATCTGGGAGAATCAAGAAAGAAATGGTTTTGAAGTAGAAAAGGTGGAGAACGACTGCGCTGCCCCTGTTTCCGCGAACAATGGCGGTTTAGTGAAACAGCAATTGAAGTGCGGCCGTTCTGACAACGTTGTTCTTGTTGAAGAAGAGTCTGTATCCAGTATACCCCGGGGCACCGTGTACCCCTCCTATTTTTTGCACGAGGAAGTCCTTATTGAACTTTTTATCAATCTTTCAATATTTTGCAAGTTTAGTCCCTGTGAGTTTTTTTCTCTCTCTTCCAAAAAAAACATCCCTAATCTTTAAAGGAGCAAATCTCCCAATCCGTGAAGAATTTGTGAACAAATTATATATGAAATTTATAGTACTCGTCGAGATCTATCCAACGAAATCCATAGTGAATATGTTTTTTGGGCTTAAAAATGCTTAATTCTGATGGACAGAATAGGGGTGGATATCCAGTTTTACAAGATGGATAACCAACTTGTTCTAAATTAGTTATCCATCGTGTTCATGCTAATTATCCAATCGGTTTGAAGTGGTTATCCATTTTGTTTCTACTGCTTATCCATTTGGTTATCCAACTTCTTAATTCAAAATAAGTTGGTTATCCATCTTCTTAAACTGGATATCCAATGTGTTCATATTGATTATCCAATGTGCTAATACTGGTTATCCAATGGACTTACATGCTTATCCAAATTATTTGTACTGGTTATCCACTGTGTACATGCTAGTTATCCAACTTGTTTGTATTGGATATCCATCCATTTGGTTTGTATGCATATCCAACTCTAATCTTTCAACGAGTATATCTCCCAATCCGTGAAGAATTTGTGAACGAATTATATATGAAATTTATAGTACTCGTCGAGATCTATCCAACGAAATCTACAGTGAACATTTTTTCGGGCTTAAAAATGACTTAATTCTGATGGGCAGAATAGAGGTGGTTATCCATCTTCTTTTTTTTTTTTTTTGTTTGAAGAGTGAATGTCAAACATATGATTGGATAACAAGTACGAATTGAATGGATAACTAGTTCAAACCGGTTGGATAATTAGTAGGAACACAATGGATAGTCATTTTTCAAAGAAAAACAAAAAACACATTTCGCCGGAGCCAAGTTCTGTGAAGTTTGAAGAAGAACAAGGTGCGACCGAAGTGCCTGAAGTGGAAAAGACAGTGGCGAGGGCCAATGATTTTGCAAACGACACCGTTTCCCTGAAACAAGAAGGAAAGGGTTTTGAGGAGGAATTAGTTAGTGGCATCTGGGAGAATCAAGAAAGAAATGGTTTTGAAGTAGAAAAGGTGGAGAACGACTGCGCTGCCCCTGTTTCCGCGAACAATGGCGGTTTAGTGAAACAGCAATTGAAGTGCGGCTGTTCTGACAACGTTGTTCTTGTTGAAGAAGATTCTGTATCCAGTATACCCGGGGGCACCGTGTACCCCTCCTATTTTTTTGCACGAGTAGTCCTTATTGTACTTTTTATCAATCTTTCAATATTTTGTAAGTTTAGTCCCTGTGAGTTTTTTTCTCTCTCTTCTAAAAAAAACATCCCTAATCTTTAAAGGAGCAAATCTCCCAATCCGTGAAGAATTTGTGAACAAATTATATATGAAATTTATAGTACTCGTCGAGATCTATCCAACGAAATCCATAGTGAATATGTTTTTGGGCTTAAAATGCTTAATTCGATGGATGAATAGGGGTGGATATCCAGTTTTACAAGATGGATAACCAACTTGTTCTAAATTAGTTATCCATCGTGTTCATGCTAATTATCCAATCGGTTTGAAGTGGTTATCCATTTTGTTTCTACTGCTTATCCATTTGGTTATCCAACTTCTTAATTCAAAATAAGTTGGTTATCCATCTTCTTAAATTGGATATCTAATGTGTTCATATTGATTATCCAATGCGCTAATACTGGTTATCCAATGGACTTACATGCTTATCCAAATTATTTGTACTGGTTATCCACTGTGTACATGCTGGTTATCCAACTTGTTTGTATTGGATATCCATCCATTTGGTTTGTATGCATATCTAACTCTAATCTTTCAACGAGTATATCTCCCAATCCGTGAATAATTTGTGAACGAATTATATATGAAATTTATAGTACTTGTCGAGATCTACGCAACGAAATCCAGAGTGAACACTTTTTCGAGATTAAAAATGACTTAATTCTGACGGGCAGAATAGAATAGAGGTGGATATCCATCTTTTTTTTTTTTTTTGAAGAGTGAATGTCAAACATATGAATGGATAACAAGTACGAACATAATGGATAATCACTCCAAACCGATTGGATAACCATTTTTCAAAGAAAAACGAAAAACACATTTCTTCATTTTCTGCCCGTAAAATTTAAATGCATTTAAAGTTCAAAAAAATATTCAACATGGATCTTATCGGATAGATCTCGTCGAGCACTATAAATTTCATATATAATTCGTGTTATAATTCTTTACGGATCAAAAGATACAAGGAAAAGAATAATATGAATGTAAAATAAGTTGGTTATCCATCTTTTTAAACTGGTTATCCACTGTGTTCATGTTGGTTATCCAACTTATTTGTACTGGATATCTATCCATTTGGTTTGCATGCATATCCAACTCTAATCTTTCAACGAGCTTATCTCCCAATCCGTGAAGAATTTGTGAACGAATTATATATGAAATTGATAGTACTCGTCGAGATGTACCCAACGAAATCCACAGTGAATATTTTTCCCGGCTTAAAAATGACTTAATTTTGATGGACAGATTATCCAACTAATTAGTATTATTTATCCAATATGATTTTTGTTTTTATTATTTTTTTAAAAAATAATAAACTAAGTTAGTTATCCAACTCGTTTGTATTGGTTATCCAATTATTGGTTTGTATTGGATTATCTAATGCGCTAATGCTGGTTATCCAAATTGTTTGAACTAGATATTCACTTTGTTCATACTGGTTATCCAACTCGTGCATACTAGTTATCCAACTTACTGGATATCCAACTTATTCTGCCCATCAAAATTTAGTCATTTTTAAACTCAAAAAAAATATTCGAAATGGATCTTGTTGAATAGATCTGGACGAGTACTATAATTTTCATGCATAATACGTTCTCTAATTCTTTACGGATTATGAGATATGCTCATTGAAAGATTAGAGATGTTTTTTTTGGAAGAGAGAGAAAAAAGTCACAAGGACTAAACGTGTAAAATATAGAAAGATTGATAAAAAGTACAAAAAGAACTACTCGTGCAAAAAATAGGGCGGGGCACGGCAAACCCCCGGGTATACTGGATAATTTGCCAAAGAACTAAGTCTTGATATCGGCGCTGCCATTCTTGGGAATCGTGAAAAGCTTGTCTCTGGAGAAAGATCAGAATTTGGTCGCAAATCGGATAGCTGTGACGATACCATGAATGGGTCTTCGGTGAGGTGCTCTTTGAAGATTGCAGTAATTGATGAAACGGCATTGATTGAAACTTCTGAGGTTGGAGAAGGATTGAAAAAGGAACGAAAACACGAAAATGTTGGGAATAGGGAAAAGAGGGCCGGGAGGAAGGGTAAAAGTAGGAAAATCGAGAATTTAAGGGCTGATGTGCAACAAGAAAGGAACTTTGATTTTGGCCATACCGATAGCGGGATTGGAATGTTAGAAGGGTTTGCGGGGAAAACCCAGAAGAAAGTATATTCAAGGAAGGAATTAGAGAGGCTGAGGCATGTAGGGCTAGATTGGCAGAGGAAGAAATGGACTGAAATATACTGTGGACTTGGACGTGTTGTGCAGCAGGAGTTTGATGGCTTGGTGGATCGTCAGTATACTAACCAGAAGCAAAAAATGTTCCCCCGCATGGATTGCAATGGCAGACACTCAATTTTCGGTGAGTTCATTGGCTGACCGTCTAAGTTTTTATTTGCTTATTTTGATTTAATCGGTTCTGCTACGTGATTTATGGTTGCGATTTGGTAGGATGCTTGAAATTTTAAAGCAGGTTATTAGTGTTTGTAACAGTAAGAGCTTCAGCATGAGTTTAGTGTATGTAAGAGAAAAATGAAAATGGTTTGCTAGTACTAGTTCATGACACCTCGAGTTCTGCCTTTTCTGTAGTCCGTGCTCGTTTCTTTACCAGCTTGCTGGGCTTTTGTTGGTTTGCTCGATGAGAAATTAATGGAAGATCCATATAGAGATCTTTTATAGTTTACTAAATGAAGTGAAGCAGCATTAGGAGAGTTGGAACTTTTTGAACAGAAATGTTATGTATTACCTTGCAGTACAAAGTTCATATATATAAACAATGGATAAATGAAACATGTTTCAAGCACTTGGTTGAATGATGATAATTGATGAGAAAAGGCTTTTGACAACTGAGATTACATACTCAGATATCTGAACACTAAATCTATTTGTTGTAATTAAGTATGCTAAGAAAATGGATGATCCATGAAGGGTGATTGAGGCTATCTAAGGTTAAAGGAGACAAAGAAACAGTGTTAACTTCATTGTCAAATGTATGAATGATTTAATGTGTAAAATTGGAGTTGGAATGAGAGAAGAGACTTTGATATCATGTCGTTCTTGAACCATGTATCTGCAAACAACAAAAATTTGATTAATAGGACGTGAAGGGTTAAAATGCCAAGTTACAAGACTGGAGGTGAGTTTTGAACAAAATGGGTTGCCCATATTCTGAATTAAAAAAGAAGATCTATGTAGAAGTTCTAGATATCTAGTTTCAGTAAATGGGAATATGTAGCTCGTATGCTATAAGTGAAAACCAAAGAAAAGAAAGTGTCTCTGTGTGTTAGGCAGGATAAAACAAAATGGAGAAGCATAAATAATCCATATTACGTCCAAAAGCTGCAACTTAAATAGAAGGAATATGTCGTAAAATATGCCAAAAGGCTTTGGTGCTTCAAGGATAATATAGTCTTGGACACATAAAACTTGAATATGAAGAAAAAAAGAATGAAGGTATTGAAATGACTTTGAACTGTGCATTCAAATGTACTTTACTTGGTGGATGAATTATTAATTTTTTGTAAAGGAGAGATCAATAAGTCCAATGCATAAGAAGATGCGAAAATCAACTTCAAGATGGATCAGCATACTTGTATAGTATGTATTGCAATGCCCCCCATTACGGGTTGTTGAAAGTAGAAAAGCATTAAAAACTTGGAATGAAATTATTTGAAGAGATATGATTTACAACTGGCTCGGAGGGATAAAGCTATAATTGGTAAAATCTGTTGATCTGATCACTGTAGTTTGAGAAGTCTAAATCGCGGAGTATTTTGGATGTACTAGAGTTTTCAACTACTTAGACTAAGTTTGTATTCCGTTGATTCCGTTTGTTGAAATAGAAGAATTAAATGATATTCTGAGCCATTTTTTTATTCATTCTTGTGTGTGGAACTTAAGATATTGTGATTTAACTTGGATTTGATTCCTTATATGTCTTTCTTTCTCAAATGTTATCATGCCAATATGAATGTTATCGACATCTAGCATTCCTAGTTATGTCAGTAAGCACGAATTCTGATTTGCAGTTTAAGTTGTGCTCATAGGTTAGTAATGACCAATAATCATCAATTGAAGCATGCTTGCCTGATGTCCATCCATTCTCGTCTATTTTGTTGATATTTTGTTTTCAGAATTTTCACGCAATGCTGTTTTGAATGGTATCCTTGCTACATAACCTCTTATTGTAGACATTGAAAGCTTTATCAGTTTTTTCTATTTTCAGAATGAGAACTTTTGTAGTTGCGCTACCTACATTTTTTTTTTCTTTCTTTTTGTCCATATTATTTCTATGAGAGTTCTCCACAATATATGTTATATGTATCTACTCTTTCAAATTTCAATCTACTAAGCCATTCTTAAGCATAATAATATCATCTTCCTCTAGAAACTGCAACAGCTATGGTTGGCCTACGGTTGTCCTACCTAATAAACTATCTTGTTTGAATAAATATGGAAGAAAACAGGCCGAAATCTTTTACTTTTTCAACAGAATCGCTCTTTCTGTTGATTGTTATTTGTTGACTCTGTTTACACTATCTCCTTTTTCTTTTTTTTTTTTCTTTTTTTAAAATATTTTTTTTAATTAATGCAATTGATAATACCTCGCCCCCCACCACTGGACCCCATAAATCTCCCTTTAAATTCTCTCTGATGCAAACGCCATCCTCTTCCACCACACCGCCATCCTGATTCTTCCTCTTTGTCTTGTTCATAAACTGACTTGTGGGATGATATTTATTTGACAATTATCTAACCTTCCCCAAGCATCATTGTCCTCCAATCCCTGCAACTGCAATTCTTTTTTGTATTTTTGGTGATGGCTATTGCTCTGTATTAAAATCCAAGTCATTTTCACTCAGGATGTGGCTCACACTTTCCTCCCGTTAGTGCTTTGCGAGCCTTTCTTTGTTCTGACCAGTAAATCAGGGTTCTAATTATGCCAATATGGTTTTCAATTTTTCTTGTCTCCACAGGTTTAATGGCAAAGGGCAGAGGAATCCATCTAAGGGTCTTTGTTCACTGAAGGTGTCCAATGGAAATATGTGAAAGACACCCCATGCTAGTGGACAGAATATAATGTACAATTGTAGACTTAAGGACATAGAGATATACTATACAGAACATATTGTTTAGTGCTGATTAAAGAACTTTGTAGTATGGTTGACTATTGCTGCCAGGAGGTTTTGTGTGAAGACCTTTTTGGCGTTTCTGCCAATTCTGTAAATTGTCTCTAATCTTTCATAGCTGTGAACCTGGTGATATAACCATTTTGTAAAATTTGGAGTTAAGTGATGTTACATTTGGAGTGAACTGTGATGTTAAATAGTTCTTGCTTGAGTAGATACGATTGTTTGTCTGTTTGATTTTAGCAGTCTCTGCAGTTGGGTGGTTTTCCACTTTAGGAATAATTTTCTGTTGCGTTTTTATGTGTGTGAGTGTGCACACGCACCTGCAACCGTATGAATGAATGAGTGCAACTAAAGCTGCACATGCCTTTCAGGTGAGGATAAGGAAATAGCTTTGGGGAATCCCTTGGAATGTACTTTTGGCCTTCCTCCTGTTAATCATGATTGTGGCTGCTCAACTGAGCAGGAGAACAGTGAAGATGACAGTGATGAAGACTACAGCAGTATCCAGAAACCTGCTTTTTTTGTCTCTGGTGAACCTAATTTTGATTCTGGTCCTCCTGAAGATGGTTTAGAATATCTAAGGCGTGTAAGGTATATAACTTTAAATTGTTATCATATTCTCTTATTTGATTTCTTAGCTTGTCGTTTACATTGCAGGAAATGAATATGATTATTTGGGGTTTGGTTTGATGGGAATGTTAGATAACATCGGATAAAAGGTTGTCTTTTTGGTTTAGGCAAACTGCAACTCTTGAATTCATTTTTAAAAGGAGTCTCTGGATGTTTAAATTGCACATATGCATATTGATTTAGAGCAAGCTGGGATGGACAAACATTCTTCTAAGGGATAATCTGTACTTGGACAGTAACTTTTTCATTTTATGTAATGCCTTGGGGACCACACTAGAGATGTTTAAACCCACACCCTACAATAGCCTGTAGACCATAGTGGGAGGTAAACTATCCTAGTGAAGCCCTGGGTGACAGGACAACAACATATTGATGACTTGATGTTGCCCAGTTAGAAGATACGTAACAATTTTGGGATTAAAATGTTTAATGCAGAGTTTTTCATGTGAACACATGATGAATTAGAATCCACAATGACAAACTTAGGAGCAAAAATTACCCAGTGGGAGGATGATGTACTCTACATTTTCAAGCATTCCTCTCTTTAGCTTGTTGACCTTTACCAGAAAGCCGAACATGATCTGTACATATTGCTGTTCCATACATGTGTGTATTTAGTTGAGGTTTGCTTTTGCCGGAATTTTTAGCTATTCTTGTTTTAGCAGTTTAATAGATGGAATCTGAAATGTGAAGGATTACCATTTCAAATTCATATCTTGCCAGCATTTGCTCAACTATCTTGCAAAAGTTTAGTCCTCTGTCCCTTCTCGACATGATATGTCTTTTGGGAATTTTATGTATGACTTATGCATGTTACGGTTTAGTGATACTTGTTTGTGATGTGTTTGACTGTTGTCTGAGCAAGACATCAACTGTAAGTCGCATATTGTGAACCCTTTATTTTTTTTGTGCATGTAGTTCCTTGGTTGATATGTTTTAGTTCCCTTTTAAGCATAAGCTAAGGCTGTTCCTCATCTGTTACATTTACTTGAACCTTTTAAAATCACAATCTTTAATGTTTTTAGGCCTGGATTTCTGTTATGTTACTTCCTCAAGTATTTATAAAAATAATTATCGGCTTTTTCAAACTGTTTCTATCTTATACAATTTGACTGAAACACATATTCCACTGACAATATTACTAGAAAGAATAGTCTTGGGAATATGAGTTTTTGACATCGTTACGGTAATCCACTTGACGGCCTTTCCTCGTGATTGTTTATTTCTCAAGACAGATGAGAACGGATATACAATCATAAGATTCACTGTAGACTTAGAGATGCTCAATCGGATTGCAGCTTAGTAGCCATATGTGAGAAATGCTATGAAACTTTGATCTCTCCATCAGAATTTTAGGTTAATGTTTAAGAAGAGGGAAAACACTGACGTGTGGTTTACTAATTAGATTGCACATTTTACTTGAGTATGGCAGCTTTTTCATTTCTTTTTGTACTAAGATGAAAAAAGACCTGTGTCTTTCTGTACACATGTAAATTCACCAAGTATCAGTTTTGAAGTTAACTAAATCAATGATAGGTGGGAAGCTGCGCAGATTCCCAAGGTGAAAGTTGCCAAGGTTGATAAAAGTAAATTAAACAAGGAACAAACCAGTTACATGCCTCAAATTCCAGATATTCCCAAGTGTCCAGAGCAATTAGTGCCGCTCAAAGAATGGGAGCATGCATTTCTTACAGAGTTTGGAAACTTGAGGCTGGTACATTCAGTAGCACTTATCCTTTTATTTTTTCATTATCATATCACTCATGTCCAAAGGAAGTTTCTGCCTTCATGCTTAGTAATTTGAATTGCTCAAATTGTTTGTAAAAATGCTTGGTGTTTCTTGCTACACATAGTTCTGTCTCTTTTATTCATTTAACTTTGAACTGATGACTCTTGAGAATGATGCATTTTTTGCTATTGTTTTAGACTGGAAGAGTAAATCATACTACCTTGCTTCCCTTTTGTTTTCAATCATCATATCTATTGCTATTGTTGGAATAAGAAATATTCTCTCAAGTGCTTGAGTAAGTTAAATTGCTTGTAGTTCGTAAATGCATGGAATTTCTTGCTGCAATTGCTCCTCCCCACTTTTATTCATCATACTTATAAATAATGAATCTTACAGAGTTTGGAAACTTGAGGCTGGTACATTCAGTAGCACTTATCCTTTTGTTTTTTCATTATCATATCACTCATGTCCAAAGGAAGTTTCTGCCTTCATGCTTAGTAATTTGAATTGCTCAAATTGTTTGTAAAAATGCTTGGTGTTTCTTGCTACACATAGTTCTGTCTCTTTTATTCATTTAACTTTGAACTGATGACTCTTGAGAATGATGCATTTTTTGCTATTGTTTTAGACTGGAAGAGTAAATCATACTACCTTGCTTCCCTTTTGTTTTCAATCATCATATCTATTGCTATTGTTGGAGTAAGAAATATTCTCTCAAGTGCTTGAGTAAGTTAAATTGCTTGTAGTTCGTAAATGCATGGAATTTCTTGCTGCAATTGCTCCTCCCCACTTTTATTCATCATACTTATAAATAATGAATCTTCAGGAAGAGACTTTAGTCATCAAAATGAGAACAGAACAATATTGTTTCCTAATGTGGATATGCTGCTCGTTCTTATTTGGCCCATGTTTTCAGAACAAACATGGTTAATTTGCTTTGTTCTTTTTTTCCTCTTTAGGCCTTGTCACATTATGGAGCTTCTGATGGGCAGTCGCAATCTTCGGCTGCTTACAAAGGAGAATCCTCCTCCAAACTTTCTGAAAGTTCCCTTGAAAATTTTGACTCCAGCGAACCTACTCCAAACCCTGTATCTCAAACCAATGGCAACTCAGACTGTTTCATTGTTGCTGTTGATAACGATGGTTCAGATTCAATAGAAAGTTCTGGATCCAAACCATCTGAAACAGGAGCTTCTGTTGAACAGCCTACCTTGTCGACGCTTGTACGCATGGATCCTGTGGTGCGAGTTTCAATGTTGAGGAAACGCATAAATTTGGCAGAAAGTATGAGTAATTTATCCTGGCACGATTGCTTATGGATGTTTGCTCTCTCGGCAGCAGTTGATTCTCCCCTTGACGCCGACACTTGTGCATCCTTTCGTTCATTACTACGAAAGTGTGCATCCTTGAGAGCTGAAAAGCTGGTAGTAGATGAGGAGGTTGCCATGCTTAATATTCTTGCAACCATATCAGGGAGATACTTTGGACAGCTGGGAAATATGAATCCTTGAGCAGATACGCATATTTGACGCAGTCAACTTGTTTTGTCTTCGGGGGTGCAGTATTGGTTCTTTAGATGGGAGTTCTAAAGGTTGTTTTCTGGACCTTTATGTTTAATGCTATCGAAAAGATATAAATATATCAATTTTCGTGGTGAATTAAGTTACAAGGCAATGAAGTAATTTTGGTAGGGTGACTTAACAAAATCGTATAACTGTAAAGGTTTTTTTTTCTTGGTCATGCAAAATTCATATATGCTTCGTTATGTTGTTTGGAGTAAAGGCAAATGAAATTCACCCAGATCTTACTTGACTAAGGAATCGCCTTGAGCTTCGTCTTCCCATTATTTTTAACAGAACTACTTGGCAAACTACGGTACAAAAATTGTCAAGGCCTTGGTCTCTTTAGATTTTAAGGCAATAGAAACTTAAATAACGAATACATGTCATTTTATAAAACTAGCTCTGTTCTATGCGCAACCAGTTGTTATCTATACATGCAAATGAACAACATTATTTACTAATTGTAATCATTAGATAATAACTGAATAACTAAACTGTCTAAAAAAAATAATCTAATTGACTAAAAACCAAAACATAAAAGTATTCCACCAAATCAGAATACTAAACCAAAAAGGCCACCACTCTTCGAAACTTTACTCCTTCCATTAAAAATATAGTATTTTAGTGTTGTGTTCATAAGAAGTGCCAAATTTTATTTAAATTAATTATATATTTACATATAAGAGGCCATATCAGGATTCAAATTTAGAAATTTTTATAGGATTTAATTTATTGTAGTCACAGTAATGCACAACAAAAGCTGTAGCCTCAAATAGATAAGCAAATAGTTTCTGCAAGAATTAGTTAACTTGTAAGACCAGAGTTTTGGTTAGGCAATTTGAACAACCGTAAAAAGTATTGATTTTCTTATAAATTAAGCCTCTCTTATTAAAAGGTTCTTCAAAGCGACGTAAATAATTTTTATCAACATAAAACACATCAAGTTTAATTGCAAAAACCAAAGAATCTCTTTGCAAAAGAATAGCCAAATTGTCTCTCATCATTGTATTGCATCAATTGTTAGTTAGAACCTGTCTCTCATCATTGCATCACCGATCAATTTGAACGTAGTCTGACATCGTCGCTCAACTTCTTTCAAATCCGCAAAAACTCTTATATATCCTATTTAAAGACAAAACAAATAAAATTAACTTCAACCAAAATAAAATACTTGAAATTTTATGCAAATATTTATAGTAAAGAGAATTTGGGATTGAAAACTTTGACAGGATTATGGGGACACAAACACAAAATATTGTTGTTTTGAGCGCTAGGGTGGCAATAAAATAAAAATTCAGAAAAATGTAATATTTTGAAAAAAAAAAAACAAAAAATGAAGGTTTGAATTGACAATTTTGACCCCAATTAAAATGGGTGTTGTCATTGTTTCCTATTGGTCAATCAAATTAGTCAATTTAAATTTTATGATGTCATGTGTACTTATTGGCCAATCAAATTATTCAATTTAAATTCTGACTAATCACATTCGAGATTCTAAACTCACCAAGAAATATTTATTTATGTAGAGATAAATAAATCAAGTAGATTCCTGGCAAAGAAATACCACAAATTGCAGGTGGTGTAGGAAATTAAGTCATATGTAGACGGGGTGAGACGTGAAATTGGGAGGGGCAGGTGTTCGTATGATCTGGTGGCCCTCCTCCATTAAGATGGATGAGAGTTAACTTTGATTGGAGTTTTTAATATACTTGAGATGGTCAGTGTCGGTGGAGTTGCACGATATCACAAGGTCGGTGGATCGGGGATTTTGTGATAAATATCAAGTATATTATACTGTTATGGAAATCGAATTATGTGGATTATTTCTAAGCCTTAATGCTTGCATGAGGAATTGGTTGATGCTCAAATGTTGATAATCAAAGCATTATATCATTACGAAAGAATGATATTTTCAACTTGAATATTGGTGTTCGTGGAATTGAAGAATTGTTGGGATATTGAATTGGAGTACGAGTTTAGAGATGTAAATTTTGTACTAATTATCTGACATCTATAGCCGCTTAAGGAAATAGAGGTTTGTTTTATCTGACATCTTTAGTGCTAATTATCTAAGATAAAGACATGGTTGGAGTATGGTGTTATTGAGGTAACATATGTCCAACATGTGTTTATCAACATATATATACTAGTAATGTTTGGTCGCGCAATGCGCGACCCTGGTCCAATATATCTGTAGATCTTACAAATATTTGTATCTGGAAAAAAAATTTTGTATTTGATCCGATATATTTTAGAAATATTGAAGAATTTAAAAATGTTTTATAAGTGTGATCATAGAATTGTATTTGGCATAAAAAGAAATTGTATTTGGCCCAGTACGTTTTAGAAATGTTTGAAGATTTTAGAAATGTTTTATAAGTGTTACTTCTTAAATATAAATAAACTTGATCAAATATATGTCTTGAAATAAATTGTAGACAAAATATAAAAGTATCCTAATAAGTTTAAATATTAGTAAGATAATTTATTGATGTTCTCCATTGGTTGTGCCAAATCAATACTTAGTTTTGGAGATTTATAATAGCTTTGTAGTAAGTTTCTTCCAAAAAGTATACACTTAATTGTTGGAACTATTTCTTCCAAAAGTTTATAGGTAGTAAAATATCAAAAATATAATTTTAAAACTGGTTAATTATTGAAACTGGTTGATCACAAATATGATGAAAATAATGTAAATTTGCATAGGTTTTAAGTTATAGCAAAAAAAAAAAACTCACCTCACCATGGAAAATAAAAAAAGAAAGAGTAAAAGATAACCCATTAAAATTGAGAAACTTATTTTTTCTGTAGGTAAAAATGATGTATAAAAACACAAATAAACATAGAAACATTATTCCTTCCCTCTTCACCTCAATTTCATAAAAAGGCTTCCCCATAAATTAGTTAGAGAAAGCGACATGAACTATTTATATGATGAGGAACTAAAAAAAGTTCAAAAACCAAATCCAAAAAAGTATATTCTTGAAAGCCCGAATACAAAAAAAAAACACGTTTCATTTGCAAATAAAATAAAATAATAATTATAATAATTAGTCAACTGGGAGTATGAAACAAAATCAAAGCAATTAAATAACGAAAAAATACACTTCTTAACTGACTATATACGAAAAAAACCCGAAACTCTATAATTAAAAAAAGAAAACCACTCTAATTGAATGAAACATAAAAAAAAAAATTAAAAAAACCACACTTTGTAACAAAACCCAATTAATCAATTCAATCCAAACAGAACTAAAATCATACAAAAATTCTAGACTAACTAACCATATAAGAAATCACATCATATTACTTGACAACGACTACGATAGCTGTAATAGATAAGCGCATAAAAATAATAGTAATAACACTGTTCTTGAAAGAATAGCTTCATTTCTATAACATAATCATACGCAAAAACCATAATATCACCATTGGATTAAATATTTTACCATTGATGGGCATTAATTCTCATACTTGGGCACATATATTTGAGAACAACACCCAGGTATATTAGACCAAAGTGCCCATAATATATTTGAAATGATACGTAGATTAATACGTATCATAATACTCCACAATAATTTCCGCAATTAACTTCCTATAAATAAATTTCCACGTTCCTATAACTTTGGTGAAATGATACGCGGGCACAAATATATTTACACTAATGATTTTGGGCACATATATTAGTAGTTTTTATTCCTCATATGGCGGCGGCGGAGGGGCGAAATTACAAATAATTTATTTTTCATTGCCCGAGCAAGTACATATTCATTGGTGATATTTCATTGCGTAAGCCATGGTGAATATGTAATCATACGCTATGTAATGATTTTTGCTATAACTTAAAATCTCCAAAAATATACTTGATGTGGGGTGATTCCAGTACCGGAATGATGTTCAATGATCTGGACGGATATGATTGTGGTGGTGCATTTGCCTTTTAGTGTAGGATATATGTCAATAAAAATTTATTTTAAAAATATGATGTGAAAATACCACATGACAAATGATGGTACTTTTTCTTAAGTGTGGTTTTTGTTTATAATATAGTATATATATATATATATATATATATATATATATATATATATCTACATATAACTAAGGGTGGTGTGGCACGGTATAGTGGTGGTTGCCCATGCCTTGTGTACACCCATTTTACATTGATTGGGCAAATAGAATTAAAAAAATTATTTAGTTGCTAGGTGTCTTTGTGACAATGTGCCACCACTTGCCTACCATTTGGTGCCTTGGGTTACCCGGAAAAAAACCCATCATTTGCATTCTGAATGCTCAACTTCGATTTGGGCAAACTAAATTCAAAGTTTGTACGAAATCTGCTTCACTTTCCTTCGGTTAGTCGAAAAAAAACCCAGAAAAACTTACCATTTGGCTTGCTTTTGCTGAACTCCGAATTGGGCGAACCAATTGGATTTTGGCTAGCCTGTGTTCATCTATCTATTTCGAGAGAGACGGCGGTATATAGCACCTCTGTTCTTGAAGAAATCACAAAGTTAATTTTTCATCCAAGTGAAGTTTTTGTTTATTGATGATTGATTGTATAAGATTCGAAATCTATGGATAGAAATCACAGTTTGTGCTCTCAATTTTTTTTCTTTTTCTTTTTCTTTTTTCCTTTCTTTTCAACTGCTAATCAATTGATTTTTGCTTTCCTTTCCTTTCGACTGCGAATCCATGGATAGAAGTTTTTCCTTTTTGACTGCAAATCATTTTCAATTCTGAATGTCACTGTCTAAACCCTAAACCATAGACAGTGATTCCTATGGAAAATGAATTGGTAGCTCCCTTTGTAACTTTCAAACAAGATGAGAAAAAAAACAAAAGAAAAATTTTTCATTATATTTTAGACATTTGCATCTTATCATAGTTGAAGATCCCTACAAATTTTGGATCAATAAAAGTGTAACGGGGAAATAATGAGGAGA